CTGGAGTGTCCACTAGCAAGTAAACCCATGGGCGATGAGCTGATTGTTTCATATGTAGAGTGGCTTAAGGATACAAGTTATACAAGATTACATTTGGTATATTGTTTAGTAAACAAATAATACCCCAGGAATCCCTCTGTTTGCTTGTATCTGACAGCACTTCACCTCCATGTAAGATCTTCATTTCTTTAATGACAGCGAACTCAAATTGTTGCTGAAAAGCATACAGAATCAGTTAAATGAAGACAAAGATCCTGTGCAGGCTGATGTTAACAAGACAGGACCTACTCTCGGCGCAGACAGATGGGATGGCTGATTTGAGGTCAGCTAATAACACAATGACAACAAGCCTCGAAGCAGCGAGGGAGTAAATACTCCCTACTTCTCCTCTTCCATGTCAGAGCCCTCTCAGCTTTCCATCAACCATCGCTGCCTTGCTTCGGATGCCTCTCCTCTGCCGTTTCACCCTCCTCTCTCCCTCTGCTGTAAAAACCTGGCCATTACCCCACAGCTCATCCCTCACGCCCACCCAGGACCTGTCACACTGCTGTTTCCATGACAACACAAACGCAGAGACAGCAGGGTGAGATGCCCAGCGAGACAAGGCAAACAGATACCAGGGGGAGGGATGCATCATGTCAAGAATACACTGTGGACCATATACAGCATGTGATGGACAGATAACACAATGTAGTCCGATCTGTAACATCTAGAAAAGGAGCCACACGGTTTCTTGTGCGTTTGTTTGCCACCCGTCTTATCCAGCTAGTGTCCATCTTTCAGTCTGGGCTTAAACATTTGATCTCATTACTATATCCACGTTTCAGAAATTGTCTTCAGTTGATCTGGTCACTCTGCATGTGCAGATTGGAGTATGGACAGCGATACTCTGCAATAACATTACGAAAGCCCAGATTCCAGTCAGCTTCTGAGGGCTAGATGTTGTCATTTGACACTGCTTTTAAAAGGGAGCTCAGGAGTACACATTAAAGAGCCTGTGTAAGACAGGGGCGTATGGTGCTGTTCAGGGGCAGGCTGTGCTAAGCAGCAGAGACAGGGATGTCATTTTCCTGCCTGGTTCAAATGAGTCAACTCAATGTTGTTAGCAAAGAGAAGTGTGTAGTAACAAGAGGAGTAGTGTAGTTCACTGGTGAAATGTGACATGTTTAAAAAAAAAAGTGACTGATGTCGTCATTTTAACAGTTGTGCATTTATCTAAGCCCCTGAAGTTTTTCTTACTTGCTTACATGTCATCATCTTTAGCTTTAACACATGTAGATAGCTGGAATTCTCCAATAAGGCAGTTTTTAGATTGGGTATTTTATATTAATAATAATTTGATGAACAAGCTCAAGGAGTAAGTTTTCATTATTATTAAATCAGCTGAAAATTTTAAATTAGTTAGTTTCTGACCATACAAAACCCCCAAAGATATTCAATTCACTTTCATTAAAAATTAAGGAACAAACAAATATTAAAAAATGTAAGCTGCAACTTGAGAACTTCTAATGAAAAACAGGCCAGTAATTGATTACTTCCATTGATAAACCAGCTGATTGCTTCAATTCAAAATTTGTTTCAAAACTCTAGAGGTGTGTCATCTTTCTAAAGCATGTTATAATTTGAATTGGCTCCAAGTCTGAAAAAATAAGCAAACTTGTGAAGAATAGGCCAGAATTACAGAGAGGCCTCGTGTAATTTAGGAATTCATCCCTACATTATGTGTGAGGCAACACATTCATTCACACCCGAAAAATAAATAATAATCAGAATAAACACACTAAAAAAAATGAAAGGAAGCAGGAGAGGTGAAAAGAAAGAACTCAGATGAGCTCAGCAATAATAATTATTCCAGGAAGACCCCATTATAAACACTATCATGTGATGACCTTTTTAACTCTCTCAAAAGGCTTGAGATGTTTTGAGAGTCTTTCGAACCTTGGAGCAACATGACCGCAGAAGTAGTTTTATTTTTTTTCCACGTTAGTCTAGCAGTATTACTCATGGGGCTGTGACATGATTATAGATTAATCTAGCACTTACTTTCTAATTTTTCAGTCCATAAAATGTCAGAAAATTATGTTTAAAAAGCCTCTCCGAGATTCAAACGGGCATACGCATTGCTTTGTTTGACAAAGAGGGCATGACCCACAATAATACAGTTAACAATCATAGACAAGTAAGGAAATGAGCAATTATTCACAACAGAAAAGCAAAAGAATATTGGTATTTACACTTAAAGAATTACTCAAAATGTCAGTGTTTTGAAGTTTGTCCTATACAAAAGGCTGAATATGAATCACAATGCATAAAAACTGTATTCAATTTTAACATTACTGCAGGGCTGCAGTACGAAAAAAGCTAATTACCGGACTAACATATTATTCCAACAGTAACCGGCAACAACCCAAGAACTAGCAGCGAATGCAACAGAACAAGGGTGAAGCGATTACAGTATCTCAGGTGACGCAACAAAGCAATCTATCAAAGGGCAAAAGTCAGCGCTTACAAGACGAGGTTTCTATCCAAGTACACTGGAACATGCTGTTTTCTTTTATGAAATTTTGAACACACACTGCACAGGTGTTAGGAAGCCAAAATGAGCAATGCAGAAAGATTGTAAGAGGTAAATTTCAGGAATGAGTGACGCACAAGTTGACAAAAGACGACTAGCAAGCAAGAGAAAAAATGTTTTTAAATCATGTGATGAGATGGGTGTTCCTATGTCACATACCTGTTGCTACTGCTTTACTTTACAGTCTACTCGGGCAGTGAACTACCTTCAGGTAACACCCTTTACACAAACTGTGCCAAGTTAGTGTGAGAAAAGTTCCAGCCAGTTATCCTTGTATAAACATCCACATACTTGCATACATGCTTGCAGGAATTCTGTCATCATCCCAGCACTCAGTCATTCTTTCGCACTGTTAGGTCGGAACCATATAAAAGCATTTTCTCTGCATTTTTCTCTTCATATGATTCAATACGGTCTAGTGTGTCTCCACTTCGAAGCAAAACAAACAACACAAGCGTGGGCATTCAACAATACCGCATACTGTAGGAACGCAGGATTGCATCCGAACAGGACGACATTCTTTCGAACTAACAGAGGGCTGTCACAGGCGTCATGAGTGTGCTCCGTGTCCTCATCTAAGACACTCTCAAAATTAAAATCGGGTCAGTCGAGGAGAACGTTTCCACTTTTTGCAAGGGAGAACATTCTGATCTGCCTCTGTGTATCCACAGACTTGCAGGGAGCGAGTTTTGTTTAACTGCAAACTATAATGTCAATAACTTCCAGCACTATGCCTTGGAGATAAAGTGTTGTTCAGGCTGACAGGAGGAATATATTTTAAGTGGCTGACAGCCAACACATGCATAGAGGTGAAGGGAACAAATTGTGGATGTTCCTCTCAGCACATACCTGCACATTCCTCCACACTTACAAATACATGTAAACAAGGTGCACTTACACAACACACGGAAACAAACAAGTCTCATATTAACATATACAACTAAAAAATCTTCACCTGTATCTCCTTTTGTGACACCTTACAGAGGAAAGTGCTACTAATGGACAAAAAAATGAACACCACCGCTGCACTGTCCTTTTAAACTTCTCAGGAGTTCACTTTGCATATGACTGCTGGCAGATCTGACTGAAATCCATCACGTCACATTTTCATGGAGGCAATGAAGTTGCAGCCAAACCACAGCTGGACAGCATGTCAGGTTAAATCCCCACATCAGCGATGTGACAAGCACCATGCACCATCAGGTGGGCAGAGTGATGCAACAGAAAGTGCTCAACTGGTTCCGCGGGATGCGTTCCTCCAGCATTACTGAGAGGAGCGTTGACAGTCATTGAAATGGCACAAGCTGTCTGCCTGTATAGTCCTGAATCAGTCAAGCAGGAGGGAGAGCACTGCGCTCTCCACACAACACGAGCAGCATCCCCCCACACTGCATTAGTGCCTCACATTTTCAGTTCAGCTGACGGTCCCAACCTCTATTTACAAGTCCACAATGACACCTATGGGAGTCCCTAATAACTGTGTTGCCACATCATGTATTTGCACGTAATTTTTAAAAATGTTTTGACATCTTCGGAAAGCAACGCCACAACAAACTGGAGGCACTCTGCACACTTCTCTAACCTTGAATGCCACAATCTGGGTTTCTCGTGTGTAGCCAGGGACAACTTTCTATTTTTTTTTTTCCTTTTCCTACAAAATGCTTCAAGCTGCTAGTTAAAGTTACAAAGTACTCGCGTGTAGCCTGGCTGCTAACTAGCCCATCAGTGGAGCACGTCGACAGTCCAACAGAGAAACATTTAGTTCAGCAAAAAAAAAAACATAACACAGTAGCTCCTGCACCCTGAACAAATGCAGAAATTTCGTCAACTTACCGAACGTAGCGACGAGCAAAGAGGCTCGTTTAATATCAAAACAAACAAGGTTAACAGCCCGCTCAAACACATGCTGATGAGAACTGTCCTGACTCACTCGTATTCTGACAACGACGTTCAACCAGCGACACTAGCCCGCAGCTACACGGCTAGCATGCTAACTACGCTCCTGCTACAACTGGCGAACTTCGTCCGGTGTTGTAGGCACGGTCACTCGCTCACTTAGCACGAAAAACAATGACACATGAAAGTATTGTGCACGTCCACATTTGTACTTTCTCCCCCCTCAAAAAAACGTACGTGTGCCCACACGGCTGCCGACTAAAAACGACACACAAAACACTGCAACAACTCCCATTGCAAGCTCGCTGTCCGTGTCGTCTAATTAAGTTTGCTGCAGAAAACACTATTAACACAAGCGGCGAGCTTAGCCAAGAAGCTAACGCTTGCTAATAAGCTAACGTCGAAGCGAGAGCCTGTGCCAGACAGACACACAACCGAGATTGAAGCCCTCGCACTGGATCGCGGATTTTCACAACGAAAACACAGCGTCGCGTCTCCACAAGGAGCACAAACGCGTGTGGCTACTTACGATTTAATACTTTTGGCTGTGTCCTCGCTGTTAAATTCCGTTTATCCGAAGCAGCTCTGACCTTCGCGGTAGTGAAACAACATTTCTGCTGGCTAACTGTGCCGCCATGTTACTCCTGCTCTGCAAACCAATGCTGAGTGTTTATCTGGCTGGTAGCTGCTATCCTCCCCCACACCACATCACGGGGCTCCAGCAGTATCAACTCACTTACCGCCGGGGGGTTCGTAAGCAATCCTACGGCGATTTACCTGCGAGGATGACACGGTGCCTGCACTTTGATTGATGAGCACGAATTTGTCCACATTTAAGTCCTAACAATTACTGAGTCTGTCCACTGTGCCATGTCAATGTCAGCAATGTTTAAACGTGCGCTGGGGTTTAAAAGGTGGGCAAACTATATCCCCCATCCCAATGGTGGCTTGTCTACTGTTTTACATTTATAAATTAGTACATTATATATGAAACCAATAGTCTGTGGCAAAATGTATGCAAATTTAAGGTCATCAAGATTCATGTGACCCCATATATGAAAGCAATATAATTACAAGAAGTTCAATTTCAGTTCAACCCAGAATGATTTTATCACTATAACAACACCGATCAGTAACTAAAAACAAAATGTGCTCAAGAGGATAATATTTTTCAGTATAGAACACTATGTCTTTTTTTTTTTTTTTTTTTTTTAAGAAAATAGGAGGAAAAAAAATTAAATCACTAAAATCAGGCTGTCAGTGCAAGCTTTAGAAATGTTAGAAATAAGAGTGTCCTACTTATTTAGCCACCTTGATTTACTGTCTGGTCAACTATCCATGGATCAAATAAGCAAGCAGGCGTTTTCTTTCTGGTAAAACTTGTGCAACAGCACCGACAAGTGGTGGAAACCTGGAATATGTGGACTGGAGGCAGAAAGAAAGAAACCTCATGAAGACACACATCAACCACACGTCACCGTTTGTTGAGGTTTTACTCACAAAAGGGATCTTGTGCTTAACAATACTAAAAAAAATAATAATAATAATAAAATAAAAACAATCTGTTACAAGCACAAGTGTTGCATTAAAATTGACTTTCAAGTTAAAAAAAAAAAAAAAAAGTATCAGCATCAAAATATACTTAAAAGTACCAAAACTAAAAGTACTCTATATGCAGAATGGTATAATTCAGATCAGTGTATATGATTGGATTTTAATTACTGTTGTATTAATGTGTTCATCACTTTAATGTTGGAGCTTGCAAAAGTGATTAACTGCTTTATATCTGCAGCTGAATCTACAGGGTAATATTACATAACACTTCATTATGGATTATATTGTGTGTTATTAAACTAAATCTCCAGAAATAATTAAGTTAGCAAATAATTGTAGTGGAGTAACAATTGCAATATTTACTCTTGAATCATAGTGGAGTAGACAAAAAAAAGACAAGTAAATAAAAATGGTACTTGAGTGAATATAATTACTTTCCACAATCAGTCCTTTTTATTACCCAATTTGTGAATTTGCAGGTTTTAGCAAACAGTGTTGTTCGTCTTACATATTACCAAAGGAACACTGTACATTTAACAGTGTCGGCCCATTGAGATAATGAAAACACTTGAACACAGAATTTTGATCCTGGCAGCG